AAGTTTGTGGGAACCGAGTCGTTATTAACAACTTTACAAATAGAATGAAGAATATTTTTATTTATATTATTTTTAAGCTGCATTTCTTATGAACCCATCCCTGCTCTTGTTTGGCAGTGCACAATAGAAAGCTGTTTTTACATATTCATACATTAAAACATTGATTGTAACCATGATATATATGTGCTTCAGCCTACAGTTTAGACCTATGTATGACCCTGTCCTGTGTGACAGTGAATACCAGCAGTATCCTCACTTTAATAAGTCTTAATTGAAATCCTCAGATTAGGCAAAAATTTAATTAAATTTTGTCGATAAAGATGTTAATAATAATAAAGGAATGTTGGTGAATATGAGCAGTTACTGCGGTGTAGCATAATTGTTTTGAAAAGTTACGAACTCACCATAGCCCGTGCTACTTGGAACTTTTTGTTCCCAGTAGCTGAATCTATAACAACAACAGATGCAAAGCTAAGTACTGTTCCTCTGTACCACCACCTGGGAGAGCTTTTAAAACAATAGGTTTTAAAAAATATATCTGGGTGATTATCGTATTGTATGTACTACCTCTATCTTTAAATCTAACAGAATGCTTGTACTGTAACGCTGCAACTATGTATGTACTATTCCTAAATAAATTATTATTATTATTATTATTAAGTAGTACATTCTTGAAAAATTGCATACATGCATAGCGTTTCGGACAAAAACACAAATGTTATCACTCATTTTCATTGGGTTAGGATAGATTAGGCTGGTTAGGCTAGGTTTGTTTAGAGCAGTGATGAAGTAGAGGTACATACTCTTAGACCCTAGTTTCACTGTATTGACTGCCTTTGCCTCACCCACCCATTTCATACCCTTTATAACATTTTTGAAGCTAAACTTCCTTTGCCTCACCCAACCATTTCATACCCTTTATAACATTTTTGAAGCTAAACTTCCTGCCATTTGTCTCTCCTCGTCAAAACCCGTAAAGTTCCGGCCAAGAACAGCGTATTATCTTCACGGCTCGGTATTCATCTCTTGAAAGGTTCTCGTGATTTGCGCCATAATAAAGTTGAGTGTGAGAGTTGGCGCCCGCCCACGACCCTGGCGGCGGGACGGGGAACTCCTTCATCTGGAACACAGCAACGAGGAACGATGACAGAAGAACGACAACAATGAGACAGGAGAGAGAGGGAAAGTTAGGAAATAACTTTTTTTATTATATAGTAAAAATACCATTACGAATGCTTCTTTAAGATCGGCTGTTGTTGCACATGCATAGACTGAGGATGTGTTTGTTAAAGAAATAATGAAATGAAATGAGTTAGGAATTTACTAGGCGCCATATATATATATACAGTATATATTTATTATGATGTACACTTTATTACAGTGCAGGCCATGCAATCCATATTCGTCAGCATCTGCCTCGCCGCAAATACACCTGTGAACAGTGTGGATAGGGGCAGCAAGGCGGAGAGCGACTGCAATACGGAGCTCCTGCGGATCAAGACGTGTGCCTGTCGCAGACATAGGGACTGCCAGAAGGAAGTCCCCTGCATGGGGAGCCTGCACAGCTGTGAGGCGTGCACGATCACTGGGGGTTGTTGCTGCCTCCAGCAAAGCTGTGGCTTCTTTGTCTACAATGGGGCTGTCCCAACTGGATTGTTTCTTGGCTGTCGGCATGGCTGGTCTGAGTGCTGGGTCTGTCATGGCACCCCATTTCGTGTCGCATTCCGTGTAGTGGGGGTCCTGTATCCCCGCTACATCACTCAGGGTGTCAGGTAGAATTTCCTTAACCAGGTCATCTGATGCTGAGGAGGAAGACAGGAAGGCTGGGACAGCAATTTGGGTGGCGGTGCGGACACCCAAGCCACCGAGCCTGACAGGAAGAGTGGCTTGTTTCCACTGGCATTCGTTGAGGGAGAGGTTAACAACTTTTTCCAGCATGGTCTTCAGTAGGAGGTCATACTCGTCAAGCTTTGGGTTGTTGTAAGATGGGGCGCACCTCAGAAAGTAGGTTAGCCTCGGAAGGGATAGGCATTTGGTGAGGAGATAAAAAGCATCGTGGGCATCGATGTCACCTATTCTGTCTTCCATCCTCCTAAGGTCTGCGATTTTCTTGTCGAGGATCTCCTCAATGGCGTTAGACCCGAGGGGAGCTCCAAGGAGGGTGCTGTTCTCGGCCCTAATTACATGGGCTCCAGGCAAGGCAGACCTTATTCTAGCTACGATGTCTGGGTTGGAGGAGACTACTTCACACTTGGAAGGGTTCAGGACGAGACCCAGGCTTACTTCTTGCTCCCTTATTTTCCTGATATCTGACAAGAGGTGGTCTACGGTGCCAGCTATAGTGCCATCATCCAAAAACCAGATGTTGAACTCGCTGGACAAGCTTTTATATATATATAGTGTATAGTGTATATATAGCTATAGTGCCATCATCCAAAAACCAGATGTTGAACTCGCTGGACAAGCTTATATATATATATATATATATATATATATATATATACATATATATATATATATATATATATATATATATATATATATATATATATATATATATATATATATATATATATATATAATATATATAGAGAGAGAGAGAGAGAGAGAGAGAGAGAGAGAGAGAGAGAGAGAGAGAGAGAGAGCTTTAAATGCAAATATGACAGAGATTCCAGAGTTTGGAAATTTATACACTACTCTATTTAAAGTTAAGCTACGGGATCGAAAAAAAATCAAACCCAACCATGCAAGCACAAACGAGTATGTAAATGATCTGCAAAACCGTTCATATATCGTTCTTGCGAACTAAGTAATTATCTACAAAAAATGTTAGGCTAGAGCTGTATAGCACCGCCTGTTTTACAGAAAATTGTGAATGCCCCAGGCAAATCTGGGGAAAAAAGACGTTGATATAATATTAAATCAACTTTGATAACATCGATCCGATGTGGATTTAACGTCACTCGAACATATTTTTCTAGCTGGCATTCAAGATACCAATACGAGACTGAAGAGCAGAAAGAATTATGATAAAGTGATGTCATATGATTCGGATTCACCGAAATTTTTATCGAGGCACAAAGGGAAAGTCAAATTTCCCTTTGTATGGTGACTGTTCAGCCCGTCCTCCTAAGGTTTCCCAACGCCAAGAAAACAATCAAGTTAAAGTGGTCTCTCCTAACCTACCAGAGGACCCAAAACAGAGAACGGAACAGTACGTCACTCTCGCCAGCCGCTTCCATTTTCAGATACGTCAATTTTTGGCCTTAAGTAACGCATGCCAGTGAAAAGCGACGTTCTTTGTAAGAGGACAGGTTGAACTGTTAATGAAACAATGCAATGATGACATTAATGTATGTGGATGTCTATGTTCCATTAAGAGTCAACGAGTATTATATATATATATATATATATATATATATATATATATATATATATATATATATATATATATATATATATATAACTGAAAACCCACACCCCAGAAGTGACTCGAACCCATACTCCCAGGAGCCACGCAACTGGTATGTACAAGACGCCTTAATCCACTTGACCATCAAGACCGGACAAAATGAGGTGATAGCCGAGGCTATTTGAACCACCCCACCGCCGGCACTCGGATAGTAATCTTGGGCATATCTTTAGTTATATATATATATATATATATATATATATATATATATATATATATATATATATATATATATATATATATATATATATATCCCTACAGTACATACTCCCCCGCTAACTTTTCATAGTCTTTATGTTAGTGCTGTTGGACTAAACTAGGCCTATACTATATATCCCTACAATCTCATTAGACCTATATGATAAGAAACATCAATGTCCTAAACAAATTATAATTCCCATAGCTACTGAGAACGGAGGCGCCCAAGATGAAGTGTTGCTCATAATAGAGTACAAATTTTTTGTAACAGAGCCGTGAAAAAAGCAAAGAACCAACCCTAACTTTTCCTAGGCCTATCTTTAAATAGGCCTAAGAAATAAGCCATGAGCCTTGTGTGTAATAATTATAGAATAAAATTGTGTACAGTATTTTAAAGATACTAGGTTACTTTACGTGTGATAGGACAAAATATATTGTAAAACTTACTAATTTAAAAACCCATATTTCCCACTTAATACCCCACATGTATCCCTCAACATCATGAATAATGTCAAAATGATGCAAGATATGGCATACAAGCCTTTAGTTATCTTCAGGTAACCTGCTAAATCATTAAATACAAACTATTTAATGATAACGGAATGTTTAGTCATTGTTTATCAAGGAGCGCGATGCGCATCTCGACCCTCGCGTCAGCTGGTCTCCATTCAGAGACTTGAAGGATGGTAAGTTGACACTCTCTGTCTCCCTCTCTGTCTTCCCTGTCTGTCTTCCGACGCAGCGTGCCGGGGATGACACTTGGAGAGGCACAGAGGGAGGCGCGGGTGGGGGCAAATATGACAGAGGAGGAAAATATATGTTTAGGGTTGGTGGTCGCCCGCTGGAAAGTTGGTCTCTTGCGTGCCTCTTGCTTGTGGCACTCCTGGCATAGCTGCCACCTGCTGGGGCACACCTGGCACTCCTGGCATAGCTGCCTCTTGCTTGTGGCACGCCTGGCATAGCTGCCTCTTGCTTGTGGCACTCCTGGCATAGCTGCCTCTTGCTTGTGGCACTCCTGGCATAGCTGCCTCTTGCTTGTGGCACTCCTGGCATAGCTGCCTCTTGCTTGTGGCACTCCTGGCATAGCTGCCTCTTGCTTGTGGCACTCCTGGCATAGCTGCTTCTTGCTTGTGGCACTCCTGGTATAGCTGCCACCTGCTGGGACACACCTGGCACGCTTGGCATAGCTGCTTCTTGCTTGTGGCACTCCTGCCATAGCTGCCACCTGCTGGGGCACACCTGGCATAGCTGCCTCTTTCTTATGGCACACCTGGCATGGCTGCCTCTTGCTCTGTCACGAATGCCATAGCATGTGGCTGCTGTTTCAGGAATGCCAAAGCAGGTGTCACTTGTGTCACGTGGGCCAAAACAGGTGAAAGCTATGTGAGACTTGTCACAGAACGCCAGGGGGACGCCTGTGTCACAGTGTACTTGAGACACGTGTTGTGAGTCTTAAGCATATAACACTTGTTACACAGTTGTCAACTGATGTGGCATTGTTACACAGTTGTCAACTGCTGTGCCACTGTTACATAGCTGTCACTTGCTGTGGCACTGTTACACAGCTGTTACCCACTGTGGCACTGTTACACAGCTGTCACCTGCTCTGGCACTGTTACACAACTGTCACCTGCTATGGCTCTGTTACACAGCTGTCACCTGCTATGGCACTGTTACACAGCTGTCACCTGCTGTGGCACTGTTACACAGCTGTCACCTGCTGTGGCACTGTTACACAGCTGTCACCTGCTGTGGCACTGTTACACAGCTGTCACCTGCTGTGGCACTGTTACACAGCTGTCACCTGCTGTGGCACTGTTACACAGCTGTCACCTGCTGTGGCACTGTTACACAGCTGTCACCTGCTGTGGCACTGTTACACAGCTGTCACCTGCTGTGGCACTGTTACACAGCTGTCACCTGCTATGGCACTGTTACACAGCTGTTAGCTGCTGTGGCACTGTTACACAGCTGTCACCTGCTGTGGCACTGTTACACAGCTGTCACCTGCTATGGCACTGTTACACAGCTGTCAACTGCTGTGGCACTGTTACACAGCTGTCACCTGCTATGGCACTGTTACACAGCTGTTAGCTGCTGTGGCACTGTTACACAGCTGTCACCTGCTGGGGCAAATTTCTCAGCATTAAGTCATGGTAGCTCATGCCCAGCAATCTTCAAATGTTTTTTTTGTTTGAACATTTTGGATTACATTTATTAATCATTCTACATTCCAGGCATTTTGGACTACATTGAATTTTGAATTTGTGCCAAGGAACTGGAGAGAGTAGTAAAAAATAAATATTTTGATATTAACTTGAGGAGAAAGTTAGTTTTATGAGTCTCAGGTTCCTAGTCCTATTTTCACCATTTCTGTGCCTTTTAAGTTTGATTTGTACATTTTCTGCATGAGTGTGGACACTCTCACTACAAATTGAGGGCTGCCTTTATTTATCAAATTTCCAAGACATTGCTGCAGTTCAAAATCCAGTTTGGTAAAATTAGGAAAAATGTGGGAACCTTTGACAAACTGCTGACTTTTTGTCCCCAACCAGGCCACTAGAGAAATGGTGGCCCTCAGGTAAATTTGGATAAGATTGTAATAGGATTGTATCAATAGTTCTTCCACATCAAAGCAAGAAGAGTGAAACTGACTACTAAAAGTTGAAATTCATCATACAGTACTGTACAGTACACATTATACCAAATATGTACTGTACAGTACAGTACATATTATACAGCCATATTATACCAAATATGGTTTCCCATTGTCAGGGACAAGAAGCCTGTTTAAACCTTGAAAGGTTCCCCCCTGAGCCAGTGACACACCTTCCCCAGAATGCAACCCATAACAGTTGCCTAACTCCTGGGTATCTATTTACAGTTTGGTGAACAGCAGCAACATATGGCAAGAAATGTGTCCATCGTGCATATGAATCGAACCCAAGATGTCTTGGTTGTGAACTATGCCACAGGACCCCACTGTAGTATAGATTTTACTATCACATCCATACAGTTATGTTGAAATTACAAAAAAATTGCTTTGGTTTTTTATTACATAAGGTATCAGTAAAAATTTAGATACAGTACCCAACATGTACATCTGAATATACAGAAAGTGATGTCACTCCAATTCATCCTGGACCATTATCAAGTTGTGTAAAGAGAGTGGTATAGAAAGTCTGCCACTCTTTCCTTATGTGACTTTATAATGATTCAGAATGGGCTTATAAGTATTCACTTCCTATACAGTATTTACAGATGTGTAGGTTGGGTGTCTAATTTTCACCCATGTTATTGTGATTTACTCCATATAAAAATAGCTTAAATAATAGCTTGCCTGAAATGCTGTGTGTACTAGTGGCTTTAGGTATTGTATGTACTACCTCTATCTTTAAATATACAGTAACAGAATGTTTGTACTGTAAAACTGCAACTATTTATGTACTGTTCCTAAATAAATTATTATTATTATTATTAAAAAACTTTGTTTCAGACTGAGCAGCAGCGACAGTGTGAAGAGGAAGAACATAAATGTCATTATGTTGCCCTGGAGTCATTACTGGTGAAGCATCCATTAAAAAACACCTGGACGATGTGGTATTATAAGGTTAAAAGTAGCAATGTTTGGATGGAATGTCATACAGAAATAGCCAGCTTTAACACTGTTGAGGACTTTTGGGCGTAAGTTTAAATTATACCAAATTTTATAATAGCTTCAATGGATATTAGTATACAATATTAGGAGTCCTGCTAATATGTATGAACATTTTGGGTTACATTTATTAATCATTCTACATTCCAAGTATGTAGAAGTTTATGATGGTTTAACCATCTGTGCCATTATAAAAATTTAATACCGTTTACAAAATTTCATATTGGAAAAAAAATTCTGCGTTTATTTTTTATTAGAAAATTTGATCCAAGTACAGTAACTTAGTCTCTGTCTTGAATACTTATGACCTAGTAATAACATCATAAATACAACCATTAAGCATAATATGGCCCAAGATTATTATTTGTTAAACTTACGAAATGTCTCGGTGGAAGACAACATGAAAAAAAAGGGAACATGTGGATAAGGAAAACTATAAAAGATGTATAGACCAATGTGAGGTAGCTCCAATTTCTATCCACAATTGTGGATCCCGGATTCAATCCCTGGGAAGGATAGAAATGGTTGGGCAATTTTCCTTCCACTTAATGCCTCTGTTCATCTAGCAGTAAATAGGTTCCGGGGAGTTGTGGGATTGCATCCTGAGGAGGGTTTGTAATCTGATCTTGGGGTTATCTCAATACAAGCCTAAAATATATATACACAGGTTTCCTGTCCCTGACAAAACAAATTATGTACAGTATTGCGAGGGGCGGTGCATGGAATGGACCCATGTAAGGGAAACCCGGGTAAGTCGCGCCAAACAGTGTGGGCACCTCCATCCCAAATATGGAAATATCTAATGCTGATGTGCTGTACCGAATCGTTCATAGACGACTTGCCCGAAACACTGCGTGTACTAGTGGCTTTACAAGATTGTAAATTACCATGCTATGTATTCTCACAAACCCAATGTACCTTCTTGTATATAAATAAATAAATAAATAAGTATTAATTTTTTATTTGGTAACTATAGAGGTAACTATAAGAACAGTACAGATACTGTTCAGTATAATGTTCAATAATGGCAGACAAATTATCTTTATATATAATATATATTATATATATATAATATATATTTATATATATTTATACACAGTATATACAAGAGTTCTCACATTCTTGTAAAGTCACTAACATGCATAACATTTCAGGTCCTTAATCCTAATTTTCCCTGGAATACAACCCTCCAAATTGTTTAACAATTAGGTACTCATTCACTGCTGGGTGAACAGAGGCTACAGTTTAAGAACTGGCACCCAATCAACCCTCCCCCAGCCAGGATACAAATTTAAGATGAAGGAATGTGAGAATTATGCTATATATGAAGTTAGTTTGGTATTTCTCAGTTTAAATTCAGTTGAAAAAATCCTCTGAAATAAGGCAAGGACCTTAGACAAGAAGTTGGATTTTGAACTGCATCAATGTGAAAAAGTATCTCTTATTTTCTGCCTTACATTGTAGCATGTTGAGCTTGAAGCTGTTGCTCCTTTTATGTACAGTATGTATTTTATGCTCTTTTAACATTTGACCTTTTATAAAGTGGTTTGGATCAATATCCTCCAAATTGTTCAGTATTTTAAGTTTTGACGAGATCAGTCCTGTCATGTCTGGTTTGCAGTGTTGGTAGCTCTGTGCATGGCCCCTCAACCATTCCTGGTACATATGTGAGCTGACTTAATTCTGGGATAATTTTTGTCACCCAGTGTTGAACTTTCTCCAAAGTGGATAAGTCTTTTTGAAGATAAGGTATCCATGATTGGATGCAACAGTCCAAATAGGAGCACACCAGAGAATAATAAAGTTGAATAGCTACATTTTTTTTCTTTTGACATCATAGGTTCATTTGACTATTCCTATTTTTTTTTTTTACTGTAGCTCCATTATCTTGTGCAACGTTCAAAGACTGGTGAAAGATTGATGCCTTCCTTTTCTTCCCTCACTCCTGCCCTCTTTTCAACATCCCCGCCCTCTCCTTCCATAACCCCTCTCCCCTCCTTCATATCCCCCCCCATCTCATTCCCCCTCCACGCTCTCTCTGAAAATTTAACATTATGAAGCACTGAAAACTGCTAAAAAAACACAGCTTCATTTTCAGACTTGATTTCATCATGTCTGATCACTAAATCTCTTAATTTCATCAAAGGATCACTAAAGATGCTGATATTTCTTAGTGGGGCACTGGCCGACCCCCAACTGGCCTATGACACTCCCCAGGCCAGTTGGGGAGTGTCATAGTTGATGAGAGTGCCCATCCCCTCCCATGTGTCATCTTGGAAAGCTGGGTGAGGTTTGCCGGAAGCATCTGGCCTCCAACCTTGAAGAGACAAAGAAAGGCAGACAGATATTCTTTTGTACAGATATAGATTTGCTACTTGGTAGAGTTTATATATTTGCTTATTTATATACATACAAGGTACAGTGAGTTTGTGAGAGTACATAACATTGATGTTCTTACATTCTTGCCAAGCCTCTTAACACGTAGTGTTTCGGTCAATAGACAGTAGAAATATGAACGTACTACATGTCAGTTAGGTACTTCTTTGTATCATCTTTGAATTGGATAAAGGAAATATAGAATTTTATTTCATTTGGGAGTACAGTACTGAATTTTATTACTCTGAAATGATAGCCAAATGCACCCATTAATTTTAAATTTACCTTAAGTGCCGCACATAATTTTTGGATATACTGTACTGTATATAATAAATAGAAATATTAGTTACTTCAAACCTTCTGCATTTTTTTTTTATAAAATATTTATATTTTCCTCTTTAACAACCTTAACAAAAATTGCTATTCAATTCTTAAAGGCAAGATATCTGGGATGGCATTCTTGTGCAGAAATGAGAATACAGTTCTGTGCCAGTTAAGTATACTATACAAGTGAATTTAAAGGGGAGAGTAATTTATTTGGGAATGATTGAAATTTTACAGATGGATATTCAGGCAAACACTGGCACTATAAAACATTTACTGTATTCCATTTTGTGACATTACTATTCATGTGTCTTTGTAGTTTATTGTAAATAAAGCTAATGAGACAAATTTTGTCATCACATGATTATAAGCATTTTTAAATGACTTTTGATGCCTAATGTCATTATTGTTAATTCAATGTCCGAATTCCTGCACGAATTCCTGCCTGAAACGCTTTTCGTAATAGTGGCTTTAGGCTTTGTATGTACTAACTCTATCTATAAATCCATCAATGTTTGTATCTCACCTTGTATGTATGTACTTTACAGTAATAAACATTTGATTTTGATTTAATTTGAATGTTGAATCAACAGTTGATAACATTAATTTAGCATTGAGCCAATGCCACTCTTGGATATTGTGCCTACTGGGTATTTATCTTTGCTCTTGGATAGTTATTAAATTTCTATTACTATATTGACTGGGGTAGTAAATAATGATTTTGGTCACATTTAGCTACTAGCAGATTGTTGTATCAGAATACATCATAAATAATGAAATTATCTTCTTTTTGCAGAGTGTATCATCACTTAAATCTACCTTCAGAGATTGAAAGAGGTTCTGGTTACTCAATGTTTAGAAAGGGAATCAAACCCATGTGGGAAGATAGCCACAATTGGAATGGAGGTCGCTGGCTTTTCACCATACAAGAATCAAATGAGTGTCAAAAACTAGATGATATATGGATGGAAATGGCAAGTACAGAATAGATAGCAAGTCTGGCTAGGAACTATTTCTTGAGAATTATTTCTTATATTTTAAGTTATATGAATAGATTAATTGTAAGTGCTAATTAGAAATGCTAATTAACGTTTCAAAATGTTTCGCTTACCCGAAACGGTGTGTGTATTAGTAGCTTTAGCCATAGTATGTACCAGCTCTCTCTAGAAATCCAACATTCTGTTTGTAACTCATCTTGTATGTATGTACTTTTACCTGAATAAACATTTATTAATTATAGAAACTTATTATAGAAAGCTTTAAAATAATACCATGTTAATAATTCAACTGTTAAGTTACTGTACTATATTAAACACCTAGCAATAAATGTTTGACTTTGAATATTACAATTATAGAATATTTATTTATTTATTTTTATATACAGTACACACATAGCATTGATGGTTATACATTCTTGTAAAGCCACTAGTATACATAGTGTTTCGGGCAGGTCCTTAATCTAACAGATAATTTTTTGTAGGTAATTTTTAGCAAAATTTGAAAAATTTTAGCAGGAAAAAACTCACATAATGGTCCAGAATAATGATTCACTAGACTGCCCTCAATGAGACAATCACCTTATAGGCCTCTGTAACCCTTTCCACTACTGCCCACAAGATGGGTATAGCGGTGCATGATAAATGAACTAAGCTAAACTAACTGAGACTATCAAAGAGAGAGTAATTGCAAAACACCACCTGGTGATTGTGGGTAGTGCAAAGTTTCATCTTGAGGATAATCTTTTTTGTCGAACATCTATTACATAAATAAGAATATTTCCTGAGTTGACCTGAGGTACACCATCTCTTTAGTGGCCTCAAAGAGGAGAGGAAGGCAGCAGCTTGTGAAAGGTTCCCCCCATTTGTCCTGATGATTTTATCCAGCTAGGTTCTGAACTCCAGTACTGTTTTGGCATTTATGGCTTCAGTAGGTAGGCAGTTCCATAGGTTTATAATGCTATGGAAGAAATCCACATCAGATTTGCAGATGACACTAAGATCTATAGTGAAGATCTTAGATCTGCACTTAGCACGAAGTGAAAAATGATATCGAGACCATTCAAAGATAACTATGTGAACTCTACAAATGGTTGAAAGACTGGTAAAGGCTTTTTAATATTGAAAAACACAAGGCCTTGCATGTGGGGCATAACAGTGCACATTGCAACTATGAAATCAAAAACATTACCTTGCAGCAGATTGATGAAGAAAGGGACTTTGTAGTCAGAATCCTTCAACCACTGAAAGTTGCACAACAAGAGGGAGCTGCAGTAAAAAAGAAACCAACCAAACACTAAGAATAGTCAAGTGAACCTTTGGCTTCAAGAAAATGAAGGTAGTTATTCAACTGTACAAATCTCTGGTGCATCCCCATTTTTATTACAGTACTGTATTCAAGTGTGTAAACCTCATCTTCTGAAGGACTTTCTCACTGGAGAAAGTTCAACACTGGGTGACAAAAATCATCCCAGAACTAAGTCAACTCTCATACCAGAAGATGTTGAGGGACATAGTTAACACTGCATACCTGACATGACAGGGCTGATATCAAAACTTAAAATATTGAACAATTTGGAGGATATTGATCCAGACTATTTCTTTAAAAGGTCAGCTGTTACACATTCAAGGAGTAATGGCTTCAAACTCAACAAATCTTACATTGTGAAACCGTTCCTTGTTTGTTACCTTTTGAAGAAATTGTCTGAATCAACATCCTCCAAATTGTTCAGTATTTTAAAGGTTCAATGAGATCTGCCCTGTCATGCCTGGTTTGCAGTGTTCAGATACTATGTACCCCGCCCTGCCCTGATGACTATTACTCCCTCATCTATCCATATCTCAACTATGGTATTTGTGCTTGGGGTTCTACTACCCAAAATCATTTACATCCTCTAAATACTCAACACAAAGCTGCTATTAGGACAATATCCAACTCTGGCCCCAGACATCACTCGGTACCCTTACTCAAATCTCTGAATATGCTAGATATTAAGTCACTGCACATTCTCTCATGTGTATTATACATATATAAAATGCTGAACTGTAATGCCAATCCTGACCTCAAAAGCTTCATTGAAGGTTGTAACAGAACCCATGAGCACCACACCAGAAATAAATACAGTTTTGATATTCCAAGAGTACGACTTAATCAAACTTGAAATCCTCTACAAATCAAGGGACCCAGAATGTGGAATGACCTTCCCAACCATGTTAAAGACTGTACCTCTCTCAACCAGTTTAAGATAAAAACGAAGCACTACCGAATAAATTCCCTGTAACCTACCTTACCCCTCTATTGTCAACCCATATCTACTTTTTTAAACAACGCTGTTTGTCGACCTAATTGTATTTGTGCTGCTTTTTCAGCTATGTGACCCCCTTTCTTATTTTTATTTTTATTTGTTCTCAACACATTTTATACTTTAAACTCAATTAGTATTAAGTTTTAGTCTTTAATGTTTTTCCTGCCCGAAACGCTTTGCATAATAGTGGCTTCAGGCATTGTATGTACTAGTTCTATCTATAAATCCATCAACTTTGTATCTTACCTTGTATGTATGTACCCTACCTGAATAAAAAATTTAATTTAATTTAATTTAATATAAATGATTAACAACAAATTAGCAAATGATAGTTTTCTAATGCGATACTTACCGGGGAAATATAAAAGGAATAGACTATTTTTTTTCGTTCTGAAGCTTTAGTGTTTGTTACTTGGTATATTTCAGCTGATTTTATTAATTGGAGAAGCTTTTGGAGATAACAATGAACAAGTCTGTGGCTGCGTTGTTAGTGTATGGAGGAAATTTGACAAAATAGGTATATGGACTGCAGATGCATCAAAAAAGGAGAACATCCTTGAAATTGGGTAGGTTAATGTTCCCCTATTTTTTTATTTATATTTTTTAAATTACAATGATTTAATTCTTTAATTCAAACATAACTTTTTATAAAATGAATCCAATTTATATGATAATTATTAGTCTTAAGTAGTAGGCCTTAACTGTAATTTTCTTGTTTGGGTTGTTTAAATACTGAATGCTTTGTTTTAAGCCTTTGTTTTAATTAACAAATAAAAGTTTATCAGCCAGAATTTTGTGCCTTTCCTCTAGTGTGTGAAAGATAAGATGTTATGGCTGAAGATATTATTTTGTATAAAATGACTTCAGATTAATTCAAGTAAATTTAGGAAATAAGAATTCAGCAGCAATTAATCTGAAGTGAGTACAAAGAAGCAGATTACTTTATCAATGGGGACAAGCTTTAAGACATTGGGCTGTACTCACCTAGTTGTACTTGCGGGGGTTGGGCTTTGGCTCTTTGGTCCTGCCTCTCAACCGTCAATCAACTGGGAAGATTGACACATGGTTGTACGTACAGCTGTCACCGCAATGAAAGAATTTGGCAATGGGGCACATACTTTTTTTGATATAATGTATTGAGAGAGAACTGTAATTAAGTTTATGGCTACTTGAAAGACTATAGGAGCAACATCAAGAAGACATTGAAGTGTGTGTGAATATGCAGTGTCAGGGTAATAAACCTAAGGAATCTCCTACCTGTCAAAGCTGTAAATACGAAGACAGTGTATTAGTTTAAAATACAATGGAAAGAAAAGTCTCGGGAATAATGTAGTGCAGTTATGGCACGCTTGTTCCACACTTCTGTTGACAAGCTTGACAAACTTCATGAGCGATTTAGGCCAAGTTCAAGTCCTATCTAAGGAGGATCTGTGCAATGATCCTTAACTACAAAGCAGTCCCGTGGAGCACTGGTAACACACTTGCCCTGCACTTCGTGAGCGATTTGGCCTGGGTTCGTATGCTGGCCGGGAAGGATTGACTAGGCACGAATTCTCAACTGTATGCCTCTGTTCACCCAACAGTGAGTGGGTACCTGGTTGTTAAACAATTTGGTGGGTCATATTCCAGGGAACAAATTAAAATTAGGAACCTGCCTGAAATGTTGTGTGTGTTAGTGGCTTTACAAAATGTAAGAACTGTTGTTCAGTGTATATATAAATAAATAATACATGAAAATAAATGTTTATTCAGGTAAAGGTACAGTCCATACTGTACATACAAGATGAGTTACAAACAGAATGTTGGATTTCTAGATTGAGCTATTACATACTATGCCTAAAGCCACTAATATGCACAGCATTTTGGGAAAGATGTGGGAAAATCTTTGACTAAAGCTATATTATTGACTATACTATTTCTTTATACTGTACCTCATTCATTTGTTGAACTAGCAGTAAATAAATACCAGAGTAAATAAATGTGTTGAATTAGCAACAAATAAATATCTGATGACCTAGACAAACTGAAGGAATGGTCCAACAAATAACCACTAAAGTTCAACTCAAGCAAATGTAAAGTAATGCTGCTAGGTGGAGGGAGCAGGAGGCCATATACAGGGTGGTACCAAATGGGAGACGAAGTCTTCCACAAAATTGAGAGAGAGAAAGAGCTCGGAGTTGATATCACATTGAACAGATCTCCTGAAGCTCACATCAAAAGGAGAATGTTATCTATTCTGATTTTGAGTACGAAATGGAGATGGAGAAAGAACCAGGAGTTGATATCACATTGAATAGGTCCCCTGAAGCCCAAATCAAAAAGAGAATGTTATCTATTCTGACTGAAAACAGTATACAAAATCCTTTATTAATTAATCAGTTTGGTAGTTTAGCTTATGATGATGATGACCTAGTCTATATTATTATTATTATTATTATTATTACTATATTTATTAAAAACTTCATTGTATGAAATTTCTATTTCTTTGATTAAACAATTTTTGTTTCAGTAAGATATGTAAAATAGCATTGAAGGAATCATACAACGAATCAGTAAATTGGATGTATCGATCACATTCTGCCCAGCGAAAATATGGTGTACAGTTTAGCACTCTGTATACACTTTAAAAAAAAAGGATGTGCCATACCTGAAGGATACCAATTCATATTGTTATCAAGTGATTTCAAGTTTTGCTAGCATGGATATATACAGTTTTCTTATAAATTATTTTATATTACTGTATATTACAAATTATCTTGTTTAACTAAAGAAAAGTTTGATATACTATATACTGTACAGTACTGTGTAAGAAGTAAAATATAATGTATTTGTTACCAAATTTATTCAAGAAAGGAATGCAGAGCTGCGGTGTGTGTGTTATGTATGGTTCTTCAATAACAACTTTAATTATATATATATATATATATATATATATATATATGCATTATAAATTTTACTTATTGTCATTTACCATGGATTAAATGGGCTTCTTAAAGAGTACTAAAATCTATTTATGTTCTTGTTTCACACTTTCGAATGTATAGTTTGATTCCCCCAATTTAACAATGGAACTTTGAAATGATTATATTATCCTATATACTAGGAGAAGGTGCTTGGTTTCTGTTCTGAATTTATTCCAGTATTTGTTTTGGTAATGTATACAGGTAATGCCTAATATTATATTGAAAAAACAAATTGTGTCCTTACATGGCACTTCCCATTGTATGTTCGAGCTAGTAGGACACTACTTAACATCAGACTTTTCTTATTGTAGTATAGTTACCAAAGAAGCAATGATTATATTCTCTGTATTAACACCTGGGAAATTTAACAATTTGTATTCAAAATGTGAACCATTCCAGCTGAAACATTTGTAGATTTTTTTGTATTATATACTGTATATATATATATATATATATATATATATATATATATATATATATATATATATATATATATATATATATATATATATATATATATATATATTTTTTTTTTTTACTCTGGTGCTATGTACAGATGCCTGATAGCAATTACTGTAAAAGAAAAATACAGCATAACCTAATGTGACAATTAGTAATTTATAATTACTGTACTATAATATTTTTGAATGATACTTGATTTTTTTAGGATAAAATTGGACAACTGACCTTTCTGAACCCCATTGAATGTTGATAACACATTGATACCTAGATTACAAGGTGTTGAACGAGAGAGGTTGCCTTAGGAACTCTGGGAGTGCTCTAGAATAGTTAGCTAACTGGGGACGGGATAACGGACTAAACGGACTAGAGAGAGCTGTTTCCCCCGGCCTCGTTAGTTAACTGGGGGGTGGAATAATGGACAAGAGAGAGCTATTTCCCCCACCCCCCGTTACATGTATATTATATATATATATATATATATATATATATATATATATATATATATATATATATATATATATATATATATATATATATATATATATATATATATATATATATATATAAACA